TCACCGGAAAGCTTTCTCCCACTTTTCAGCATGATTGTCTCAAGAGTGGCGAGGGACATACATACACCTGCCCGAATCCTTGGGAGCGAGATTTAAACTCGGGTTTGGTATCTAGGGTTTGGGGTTAGGGTTTAGGGTATAGGGTTTAGGGTTCAGGGGTTAAGTTTAAGGTTTGGGGCTTGGGTTTAAAATTTGGCCAAGGATCTCGTAGAAGGGATCACCGGGGTGCTGTTCCAACAAGTATGCCATAAGCTGACCCAACCAAAATATGGCATAGCGTGCTGCTGCTGCCGAGAGATGCTTTTGCGATATGTTCAAGTACTCCTTGGAAGTAGGATGAAGGGTGGCACTGGTGAAAAGCTTCCTGGAAGCTCTGTCCACCACACCTGTCGACTTAAGCTCCATACAGTTCGATATAGGGTTTAGGGCACAGGGTACCTTATTTAAGGTACTAGACTCCAGCTCGAGCCTGCGTCTTCGCACCAGCTTCGGTAGGACTCGAAGAGTGATGATAGCTCAGATTCTCGCTGCGGCCCATCGCTAAGATCGCAGAGCAAGCTTCCCAAAATGTCGGGGTACATTGCCAGGTGCAGCAAGTGCATAATGTCCGGCCAAATTCCTTAATCTAGAATCTAGAACAAAAACATCCTGAACATCGGGCTTATAAGCCTCAAGGTGTATAGTCTCAAGGTTCCGGGCTCCAAAGAGTCATAACTCTAGCTGGAAAACCCAAGACCCTAAACCCCAAACCAAAAAACAAATATTGAACAAAATCTGATAACAGATTTGTGAGCTTCGCCATGGGCAGAAGCCCGTGATCTGCGTCAGCGGGCTCGCCCCGTGGATTCGGCGAAACTCGTCGGCGTCCTTCAGCAGCGTCTGTCGGTGTGCAGCCTGCCCTCCGAAGTTAACGAACAGCAAGTTTGGATCATTTGCAGCCCCATGGTCGTCGTTGACGTAAGTCCATTGAAGTGCCTCTCGGGATCTCGGGTTCGCACAGATATTGCTACTTCAACTTCATACAAGTGTGCATGCAATCCGCCTCGCATAAAAAGCAGCATTGTTGTCGGGAATAATCGCCTCAAATCGGCGGCAAGTTATTGGGTCGGTTTAGGGTTCGGTATAGATTTATAGGGCTATATATCTAGGGTTTAGCGAAAATATAATGAAGCTGAGGTTCGCTTCAAGAAAAAAATTTTCTTGATGAATTCAAGGTCGGCCTGGAAGCCGTCAAGGATTCCGCACTTTCCGCCTGCTAATGGGCGCCCTGCGACCTTCCACCGGAGGGGTTCGTACTCGTTGCTGAACAATCGTCCCCAAGCATCGGTTGAGGGATACCGGCCGCTTGCTAGCGATTCCATAGACCAGGACAAAACTTCTAGAATAGCCCATCTTGATTCATCGCTGTGATACATCATGTTCAAGCATGATAACCTCGGATGCAGGATCATGGTTATAAACTTCGCCTCGACACCGATTGGAATTATATGCAGTCCAGTCGCAAGAATCTGCCATCCATCGTGGACGATCTACTAAGCGGTGAGATCAAGCAGAACATCTCGAATTTCTGCTTTTCTTGGTTTGGACAGAATGAAGGCAAAGCTGTTGGATATCACAGCATGTCGCAAAACTTGTTTGCAAATGGGCTGCTGGTGAACTCTGCCCCATCGCCATAGAGGCGTAGCGGAACACAGTCTCCCCAGTCGGATGCCTGAACTTCGCCATGTCTTTAACAATAGCACCAAGACACGGCACGTATACCTCGATGCAGCTGAGGAACATTACTCAGGATCGGATGATCCCGGCACCACTGCTGATCTTGATCTGCCCAGTAATCCCGAACCTTGGATTGCACGGAATGCCAAGCGTTTGAAATCGAGACACAGTGGGCTTAGGGTTTCAGGCTTGAGTTGGTGTGTTAGGATTTGGGGCGTAGCTTGTATTTCTGCGATCCAGGCTAGCAGCATGCTGAGTGCTCTCGTAGAGCAAATCCGCATGACCAGCATCATGCAGCGAAGCGAAAATCTCGTGAGGAAGAAACATGTGGTGGGTGACCTCCCGGGTAGTTCTAGCCCCACGAGCATCCTGGTAGCAGGCTGTGAGGGGGAACCTTGGTTCGTGTGTTCGGAGGATTTCTGGCTTTGTACGATTTGGACGGAGCAGTGCAGCTTGGGCTCGTAAATGTCATCGGCAATGCCTTCCTCCAAGGCTGCTTGTGTATCCATCGTTCCAAGAGTCGCATCTGCCCCCAGGAATTAATTTCCCCACGAAATGAAGTGGCCAGCTCCAGCAAGTCTGGCCTCGGCGGGTGAATCGAGGCCCAAGTACATTCATAACATTAATGGACGAGGTGCGGCACCAGGGCATGAGGGAGCCGGTACACACTTTGCAACGATGTCGCCACATCCGCCAACGGAACCTTCAGGGTTTGGAGGGATCTTATTGTTTCTGTCATGTAGTCGTGACATTGATCGTGCACAAACCATGCACCTGTCCATTGGAAAGATGTTTCAAGACTTGGTCGCAGGTCTCTTGCACATAGTTTCGCATGTAATCGCCAGCATCATTCGAAGAAGCGGACATCACCAAAGTCTCTATATGTTTAGGGTCTGAAACAGCTAGGGTCTGGGTGTGGGGTTCAGGGTTTATGTTGGTTTAAGAACCCACACTCGGGACTGGGCTCGTGCTTATGATGAGGCTTCGGGGCTCGGGTTCATGGGTTTCGGCGCTCACGGGGTTCAATTTAGGGTTTACAGCTTATAATAGGGTTTGGGCTTCTACGGTTGTCCATGATGACACAACAGCTGGGCCAGCTGAGTTGCAAGCTGAGGCGGCACAGCACTGATGCACTGGGACGACTTCATACACATGGTCACATGGGTCTGCAGGCAGCGACTGCTCACGACTCCAATCTTTTCTTGCGGACTCATCACGAGTATTCGCAGCAGGAACACAGAAGCCATGCGTGTATGCATGGGGCAGGGTCTCGAGTGCTCAGTGTCCCCGGAAGTCTGGAGTGGTTTTATGCATCGGGCTAAGCTATGCGTGCAGCCGACTAGCAGAGTCTAAGATGCCTGCTGCATGCACACCGGCCACACACACTCCGATCCTGCAGACCCCAGGAAAATTAAAGCCATGAGCTCACTTCACCCGCTTTGCAGGTGGCTCCTCGTCTTCTGGCCACTCCTCTTGCGGCTGCGTGCCATCTCCAGGCTCGTCATCGTCGAATGCATCATCATCGTGCTCGTCTCCTTCTCCCAATTTCTTTTTTTCTTCCTTCTCTCGCTTGCGTTTCTCTGCAGCAAGGCCTGCAGAGGGAGAGATGAACCATGTGCACATCGATCATGTACATGCCAACCATATACATTTGAGGCCAAAGTGCGTCGCTTGTGGGAGTCGACGATGTCTTCTGCATCTGTGATGATTTTGCCCTTTGCCTGCAGGGATGTGGAAACATGATGGTCTTGGGCTTAGGGTTACTATTCTAGGGCTTATAGGGGCTTAGGGTTTAGGTGTCGTTGTGGTTTTTTATATGAGACATGCACACGGAAGCCTCCAGTGCCGGCTTGTGCTCATCCAGGGCAGCAACACATTCCTCCGTAGGCGTGCAGGCGAAAACCATTTTCTGAAGCCTCGGGTTGATGCATATACTCGAACATGACTCGGTCGATGATGCATGCATGCAGCAGCGACTGGTCGCAGATTAAAGTAGATAATGCCACTCCGAGCATCTCGTTGAAGATGCCGATGCAATCCGTCGAGATCTCACCGAGGTTCTGCACCATTTTCTGTCGATCAGGCAAGCACACGTTGGATTGGGACATCAGAGGGTTAACTTTTGGGTTTAGGTGGAATGAATGTGAGGCCTGCAGACATGACCCAACAAGATCTGATCCCTGCCTCCTGGTTTTTGATGCCATAAGACGTAATCGAGGTGGCCAGCAGAACAGCTTTATCCGAAAGGGCCCGTACCCTGAGTTGGGTTTGCATGCTGCGTGGCAACAAGCAAGCGAATATATGTAGCTTCGGAACCCCATATGATCACGTTGAAAGTCTTTGTTCATCTTCTCGTCGGCCGTCAGCTCCTCAACAGGCACCGTTTTGGTAGGGAGAGTTTAGGGTATATGGGGTTCTAAGTGGTTAGAAGCGTTTCAGGGCCAGGGCTTTGGTGTGTGTAGGCTTGGCTACATGCAGGCCACAGTCTGGATTGGGGTTTAGGTTGTAGGGTTATACGGTGCGGCGTGGGTTTGGGGTTTAGGGTTCGTGGTTTAGAGTTTATATATAGGGTTTAAACTGTGATGTAGAGATATGTAGAGTCGCACTAAGATCATGGTCACACACACACACTAGCTTTATCTCTCGTTCTCTCCCCTCCCTGGCCTTCTTCGGCTTTGGTTTCACCTTGGGCTTGGGCCCGTCGCCGCCGGTTACGGCGGGCTTGGACATAGCATTCACCTTCATTTCAAGTGTCTCCGCCAGGGCCTGGCGTTCTTTGCCGTTCTGCGACGGCGTGATACTCGCACTGGTGCGGCTGCCGCTGCGGTTGATCTGGGAATCTCGGCGGCATTCTTTTATAGGTGCAGACGTATCAGATCGATGTGCACAGGCAAGCAAACAGCACTAGAATGCAGTCTGGCGTCTCAGGTTGTCGATGCACTTAAAGATCTTGTAGATTCTCCAATTGGGGTCCGTAGTCTGGGGGTGCTCCTTGCCCTTCTGGCCTGCATG